TGTTATTTTATTTTACGGCATATCAACCTCAAAAGGATTATTTTAATGCCGACAAAAAATTTTAGGATAGGTTCTAATATGTATTCTTTGTAAGAAATCATTTTGTAGGTCAGGGTTTGAGTTTATTTCGTTTTAATGCATATCAACCTCAACGATTTATTTAATGCCGACAAGATTTTTAGGATAGGTTCGTATGAATAGAATATGTATTCTTTGTAAGAAATCAGTTTGGAGACCAGGCTTCATTGATGTATTTTCGTAAAGAGGGTTTTTTGTCGATAGTCAAATGTATTGCCGGTAATTTTTTTTTTTTTTTCAGAAATATATTGCTGGTATTTTTACTACAGTAACCTATTTTTAAACTTTCATAGTGCTTTGACCTCCGTTTGGGAGTTAACTAGTCACCCATAGCTGAGACCTTAACAGATGCTACCACCCCGGATCATTGTGGATATAGGAACAACAGCAATTAAGAGGTGGTTCCACGCTTCTCAACACCTCCTGATCAGTGGCTTTACTGCCATCTGTAGTTTACCATCATACACAGGACGCCACATTTGAAGGGGCTTACCCCTCTGCAGAGATGCAGTTGGCGTATTCTGAAGCTTCAGCCGACAGAGCGGAGGAAGTGAAGACTATGAGGATAAGGTGGATATATAAAAATTGTTTGAGCCTGTGCCAATGATGGTAATGAATCAATCTGTATCAGTGTTTATATTACATTAATAAAAATATTTCTGCATATATTTAATAATGAAATTCATATATTTCACAATATCTACTGATTCAACATTCAATACTCTGTCTTTAATTCAACCTAAACTAATGACGATATTGTTCTAAAATGCATCAATTATATTTAATCGGTTCTGAGCCAACATAAAACTGAAACAATATTTCTAACAACTACAATCTCACAATGAAGATATCAATGTCAATATGGAATCCCGTGATAAAAATGCTAATATCTTTAATAATTTCACCTCAAATAAGGCAATAAAGCCACTAAGACACAAGAGGTTACAGAGTGTGAAAGAATAATAAGAAAAACATTATTAAGGAGATAGAAAAAAGTAAAAGAAGAGGAATCAAGACGACAGTAGATAACGATTGACATTGCATTTAAATTTTTGAAGTCATGAAGCCGGAAGATAGTTCCATGGATGATAAGTGTAATAAAATAAACTGTTAGCATAGAACTTACAGTTACATCTAGCTATTTCAATGGTAAAATGATGGGACCTTGCCGCTAATCTAGTACTTCGCTTAAATTCATAAAGTCTAGGTACCATAGAGAAAAGTTAGTCAGAACAATCGCCATGGAAATATTTACAAAAAAGGCACAGGGAAGGTACCTTACAGTGGTGTGAAAGTGACTAAAGCTTGGTTTGATATAGTAGCCTTGCTCTTTTAACCAACCTCCAAAACAGTCACAGGGTGTTACTTAAGAACTCCTGTCTGGCCGCTCATACATAAAATAGGGAGTTAGTTTTCAATCACCCTGTACTTTAGGTAAATGATTTGCCTGAGTATATAATCCGATAATTTGTGAATATCTATGCTGAAAATACAACGGTATATGGGTGGACCTCCGAAACTCTAGATGACCAGGCCTTGGCAGCTCATCTGTCCTCTGACTTTTCTCAGTGGGTTGGGGAGTGGGGAACTGGCCGGTCACATTCAATGCTTCCATAGCCAAACTGGTAACATTCCATCATCACCGAACGGGCAGAGAACTTTCACCGGATGTTCCCTCAGGGAGACGCCTTGCCTTGAACGCCTATCGGGACAAACTCAGCGCAGATCTCAAGTGGAATTTGTACATACGATCTTGCTAAAGATGCTAGAAAAGTGGTCAATTCCCTGTACCGCCCCGTAAGTAACTTACTCCTTCTGCTATCTTCTACAGTTACAACAGCCAGATCAGGCCAAAAACGAAGTACCGCTGCCATATATAGGCAGGAGCTGACCAGTCTCGATCTGATTTAAAGATCTTAAATACCTTCTTCAATAATTGTCTGACTTACATATTAGTTTATGATGATGCTTGTTAATATACCATCAAGGTTTACATAATTTATTTGCATTAATTACTTTAGGACTAACTTCTTCATCTTTCTTATTAGTATCATAACGTTTCGGTCGTTCTATCCCACGGTCTTCTTCAGGTGTCTCTCGCTCCGGGTGATCGTAGTAATAGTAATTTCAATCTCTAGATCGGTTAGAATGGACTTAGGTTCGGTGGAATCAATGCGAGCAATAACCGAGCAGTACTGAAAAGAACATGTGCTCATATCTCTAGACATGGACAGCGGAACGATATTAATATACCACCGTAGATTAAAGTGCTCAGATGGAATTTTCTTGAAGATTACATGCATTCTTTTGGTATGAAATGTCACTCGTTTAAATAATAATAACTCTTTACTCCGGAAGATCAGATAGAAATATATAGCCTAATAATTGATTTTACAGTATTTTATTTTTCTTCCCAATCCAATTCAATGATCGTTATGTTTTGTCTTCTTTTTGTTGTTGTTGTTGTTGTTAGGTTTTAAATGCAGACAAACATCGTCGTGTATAAAGTAACATACGGAATTCTTTTCACAAAATTTCACTATGCATAACGCTGGATTCTAAATATTAACTGTCACAGCAGGTGGGACTTCTTTTTTACTAATGGAATACGAAAGTAATGAGGCTGCGTGGACTTTATGGATGCGTCATGACGGGTCCTAGCAGTAAATGTCTGAACTGGCGGAACGAAGGAATGTAGCAACGTCCAAGTACGTCCTGCTTGAGGCAGGGATTGAACTCACAATTACTATGGTGATTTGCTAAGCATAGCATAGATGTGGCACAAGGCCGAAAGTATGGGGAACCCAGTAAGGATCGAACTCAATACTCAGTCGTAATTGTTCTAGCGAGACAACATTACTAACTATTACACCACGTCGAGGTGCCCTATTTTTTCTAAGCGTAACTTAGATGTGGCACAAGGCCGAATATATGGAGCACCTAGTGAGGATCGAACTCACTTTTCAGTCCTAACTCATCTAGCCAGACAAACTTGCTAACCATTACACCACACCGAGGTGCCCTACTCACAATTACTATGTCACTATCGCCAGATTCACGAAGTAACGCTTTAATCGACTATGCTGTAGTCCCGTGATTATGAATTCATTTAATAACTGCTCTGCGAAGTTTACTTAAAAGTGTGAGTTTGTTTTCAGTTCTTTGGTCACTTTTTACGCTTTGCTTAAATCTGAAACGCGAACTTCTTAAATATTTTCTAGCTCGTCAATTAATTTTCCTTTCTTATTGTTCTATTAATACTTTTTTTTTTTACAGTGAGGTTCACTCTGTATAAAGCCCGGGAGACACTCGAGGTAGAGGGTTACAGAGTAAGAGGCAGAGTTTATGGGGATATGTGAGGAAGATAACGGTTAACCGTAGACTTGAACAGGTTAAGATTGTCGTGATCGGGAAAATATACTCTTATGAATCGGTCCACTGGAAGAAACTGCTCATGTGGAACTTATTTCTCACCAATTGAATACGAAGAAATGGAGGATGGTTTGCTACAATGTGAGAGGCATAGTGGTTCTTAGACGTGAGAGTTAAAACTGGTGGAATTAAGGAATGCACTTTGTCCGAGCACTTTCAGGATAGAGCAGTGAGAGGCATGTGATTCTTGTAAATGTAGAGATTAGCACGCGGAGTTAAATACCTATTGGTGCGGTCCAGGGAGCCGAATATCTTTAGTGATGGATCCTATGTATGAGTCCCACTTGAGGTCTGGGATGAGTTCAAGATCCAATAGTCACGCAAGGCAAGCGGCCTTACTAAGGGACCATACCTTCATCACGATTTGAGATGGTTCAGTATCCGAGCGGCGATGATGGAATGTTTGGTTTTCGACGCATTCAATGTAAACCGGCCAGTTTTTCCCCCACTGAGCTGTCAGAGCTAAATCATAGGAGAGATCAGCTGCCAATCTCTGGTTTTTTATTCTTTTATCTGTTGTTCCTGCCACTGTTTTCAACATCCTTTTTAAATGTTCGTTCACAATTACCAATATTGTGTTCCGATAATTGAATAACTTGCCTAGCAGCAGTTTTCAATATGATCTTTCCACTTTATGTCAGCAGGGAACGTCTCCTCTAGAAGACGCAACCAGTCGCTCTACTGGAGGTTAGCATCAGCCATTTTCTAGCAAGCTGACATTCGTGATACCCTTCTATAGAAAGAATTTCCACTTGGGCTCTTTTTCAATACTAATCTGTTTAGTTCTTGACATTTTAACGGTTTTTGAAAATTAATCTTGATGGGATTGAACCTCTACTAAGGGATTTCATATATGCACAATAGGTGAATTTACTTATCCAAATATGCAAAATTGCCCTTTTTTTATGATCTAAGGATTGTCCCTATATATATATATATATATATATATATATATATATATATATATATATATATATATATATATATGTTGTGAGAGGTTATGAAAATATTTTGTAAACATAACCATTGTCACTGGCCCTATTAACAAGTTCAATACCCCCACCCCAAATCTGATATGTTTCTTCGATTACATTTCAGAAAAACGGCCGAGCCGGGAATTTTAAATCACTTTCTTGTACATTTTTTAACGCTCAAAACCAAAACGATGCAATAATATTCATGTCTATCTTTTGCAGACAGGAACTCACTGAGAAAGCCTTGTAAATTAATACCAACTCTGTTATGAACGTATTTAATTGATTATCTGATTAAAATCTATCATAATCGTGAATTGTAACGAGTAACCACACCTTTACTTGATTGAATATCATTTATTTATAAGGTGATGCTGAAAGGTTCCCGGAACAAGCATATCGTCCACGGAAATTCTGATGTTCTCTTATATGATCAAATTTTGGGAAATGGGTTTAGAGAACGACAAAGTTATTGCAATGAATCATGACTTTTATTAATCTCTTTCTCTCTTGCAGAAAGGATCTGTACGTGAAATCCTTGAGATTTGCTCAAGTCCTTAACAAGCTGGGAATCAATAAAGGCGATCGTGTCGCCTACTGCGTGTCCAATTGCATCGACTGGATGGTTTATGATGTGGGTATCATGATGGCAGGGGCTGTTTCCGTCCATTTGCTTATGGGTTCCGCCGATGTCAAAGTTACTCTCTCGGGTTGCGTCATGGTTATTCTAGACTCTAAAGAACGGTGGAACGATTTCGTGGGCGTAGCTGAAATCCTCCCAGGGGGAAAAGTGAGCTGCAATGAATGTCCCACTTTGAAACTAGCAATGGCTGTGGATCCAGAGTGTCGGCCAGACAATGCCCTTCTGGCATCCGAGTTGATGGCTGAAATTGAAGATGCTAAGTACGTTAAGGGTCCACAATTACCAGTTTTGGATCCTGATGATATTGCCCTTGTGAACCAGACATCGGGAACGACTGGAACCCCGAAAAAAGTCTGTCACACACATTTCGGCATCGTCAACAACTTGACGATATACAATGTAATCTCCGGATTTCATGCTGACGACGTGATTTACAATAACCGTCCGATGGCGTATACCGTAGGGTATCCATTAAATTATATTGGGACCGGAACCACCACTGTCACTGGGGACGTGAGGTTTCTAAACGACCCAGCAAATAACGATTTCCTGGTGGGTATCTGGAAAAAAGAAGGCTGCACTTTGGTCTACATGCAGCCGCAGATTATAAAGTCTATCCGTGATTATGGTTTTCGGACCAAATATTTGCTTTCGACCGGCGATACAATTACTGAACAAATGATCCGACATTCTTTCCTTCTCACCAATGCCTTCTGTTTAATTTACGGGAGCACAGAAACTCTGATATCTACCCATAGAATATTTACACAGGAAAATATTACCGAGCACGAAAAGGGAATGCTTGGGGTTCCTTTACCAGGGATGGAGATGAAGATTATCGACGAAAAGGAAGAAGTGGTTGACATAGGTAAAGTAGGAACACTATGCATTCGTAGTCTTTGGAACAGTAAGTGCTACGACGGAAACTTGGCGTCTCCACTCAAGAATGGCTGGTTCCACACGAACGATCTTTGCTACATGCAGGCCGATGGTAACATATTGATAACGGGTCGAAAATCTGGCTTTATTATCAAGGGTACGGTCAATGTGTCTATCCAATTGATTGAGGATTACGTCAGTAGTCACCCAGATGTCGAACAGGTGGTTGTTGTTGGGGTGCCGGATTCTCGATTCGGTGAAGATATCTGCGCATGCGTTCGAATCGCTTCCGGGCGTACATTTGATAAAAACGCTCTGAAAGCACACTGCGAAAAGAAAATGTCGGGCAAAAGTTCTTTAGACTGGATATCAATGGTTCCGTCTTATTTTCTACCTTTTGATACCTTTCCAAAGCTGTCGAGCGAAAAGCTGGATAGAAATAAAATTAAAAAACTGGCACGTCAACGACTGAACGAATTCTGATTCTCGAATCGGTGTTCAAGTTTGTGATCTTTTTTTTTTTTCAATCTATCTGCTATGAAATAGAAATGGATTAGAGAGTCGAAAGCATTTATTAACATTTCTTGTATTTTAACTTACATCTCAGTGGATATTTTCGCATATACGTTTGCAGTAAGTAGCATAACAACAATTTAATAACAAACGACTTACGGAAGCTTTATTCTGCTTAGAATAATTGATACCAGCGTAATGACTGTTTATAGTCCTCTACAAACGAAAGAGATCTGCAAAGGGGGGTAATCATAAAACAAAGGAGATTACTCTCGATTAATTTATCACAATCAATTTGATGGAACTAATAGAGATATTGACTTTTGCATTAATCATTTAGATTTCAATCAAGTTGATGTTTGGAATCTTTACTTTTACAAGGGATCGAAACCCGATACTGGTGACTGTAGCAAAAGAAAACGAAAACAATTTTTTTTTTTAATTAAAATACAATTGTATTTCTTTTGACGCTTGTGGAACTCAAGTCAACTTTAATCTTCAAAAATTTAAATGCAATGTTATCTACTGCCTTCCTTCTATTATTCTCGCTGCTTATCAATATTTGTGTTTTCTAATTCTTTCCTACCCAGTAAACTCTTGTATCTTAGTGACTTTACTGCCTTGCTTGGGGTGAATTCGATGAAAAGCATTGAGTAAGAAATCGTTATCGTTTTCTGAGATGAAAAACTTGAATGAAATAAGTTAAATGGCTCATTTATTCAGGAATATTTCGATGACAGACAGACTTTACATATTCAAGGAGCTTTCCTTCCGGATTCTTCTGGGAGGATTGGCAAAGGAGGAGAAGGTTTTTTTTTCCCGTCGGGGTAGATGCTGCAGTTGTAGTATCTTGTGACATACTGTTGCGACGTATGCACGCGGATAAAAACCTGCTCTTTTCTGTCATTTTTCTCTCTAACTTAATGATCTAAAAAACCGTAGAGTTTTCAATCGTTGTCTGACATCAATTTTGTCTTACAACATAGCCCCAATAACAGTAGAAGATATTTGATCTGATATTTGAAATCACAGTACTTAAGGGGACACTGGGAGTATTGATGTTTTACATTGATTTTCCAATCTTTCAATCCTGAAAATTGGTTTTCGGAATCCTAGCCTTTTTTCCTTGTTCGAATCGACATTAGAACAATGTCATCATCAGGGTGCCTTTTTTTTTCTAAGACAGAATTTTATATATAATAGAATACTTATATATATATATATATATATATATATATATATATATATATATATATATATATATAAAAAATTATAACATAAATCATACTTATTATAAAACCCAGGCTGTGTGTGTCTGTACGTTTATATATTGGATCGAATTTCCTGCAATTTTCAACCGATTTCAACAAAACATCACAGGACTATGTAAAATTACCTTGCGGTGGTTCTGACAGCGTCAAAAATTGGAAAAACGCAATTGTTTTAGAACGAAATCAGTTTGAAAACACGATTAAGAGGCATCGCGAGAATGAAAGGGGGACAACTCATATCGAGTTATACTTATTATGAAACCCAGCTTGTTTCTGTGTGTGCGTGTTCGTTTATATATGGGATCGGATTTTCTTACATTTTTCAACCGATTTCAACAAAACTTCACTTTTTTTGGCAGGTAGTGTTTCTTATTGTTTTGCACACTTTTTTCTTTATTTTTACATTCAGAATGCTTTAAAAATTCCATTTACAAGACAATTGTTTATAATAAAATTCTATTCAATCGATAGACTCATAACGATTGAAAACAATGTTTTTGTTTGAGTTTGGGTTTGACCAATTCGTATAAAAAAAAATAATTAAGACATGCGTGTCCGTCAACCTTAAACAATAATCTTTGTCAATTTTATTTTTTAGTCTTTATGATGGTCGATACTTGATCTATCTCTTACTGTTACATCCCCGGGCAACGCCGGGCTCTACTGCTAGTATGTTATAAAATCACTACAAAAGTAGCCATTTTGTTTCAACGCCTTTAGTGTCTTATCAAGTTATGTTGAATGTACATTGTAGAATGAAGGTTTTTAAAAGTTCAAATCAAATAACCACACCTCGTAAGTGGAAACTTGACAACGAAATAAGGTTATAATAATTATTAAATGCTTTAAAGTTGGCTTTATACTAAAACAGAATTTATTCTAACTAATAAGTATTAAATTGTACGATAAAATTTGAAATTAACATTAAAAACTACCCATTTCAGAAAAGTAAATTTAATTTATATTAAGTTTAAAATTTTAAAATTATTGAGGAAAAAAGAAAAATGTATATGTTATTCTGTTCATTTTGTTTCTATTGAAATTACGATGGAGTAAACGTTAAAATCGAGTGCCCTTATAATCCCTTTTGGATTATGACATCTTGCGAAAGACAATACAAACACAATCAGATTATAATACATAAGCACGCAGATATATTTAGATATATACACACACAAAAAAGTGACGAGACAGGAAATATTTGCACGACTTTTTACAATAAAAAAAAAATATTTAAACCACACACATACACAATGAAATGTGCATGCATTTTACTATACACAGACACCGAAAAAGATACGTACATATACCCACATACATTGATATAGACACTCTGATATAACACTAAAGAAATATTCAAGATTGAAGGTGTTATTAAACGAATTCTAACCACATATTAAAATATAACTTATACGGGCCAATAACAAACAATAAGTAAAGAAATGATATTAAAATACATATATAAGTATAAAAATAACACCATCTAATATATAAAAAACGAAAATTCAAAGCATACATATACTCCTAATTATACATTAGGTGACAGGAAATAAAAAATAAAATAAAAACTATTTACAAATATATGCGTACAGTATACAACCATTTATCACCACAGACAGACGTGCAGAAAAACCAACCTATAGACAAACATATACACGCATACACACATACACATATATATATACGCATATGTATATATACACATACAGAAGCTAGCATAAGTACAGTGTAACCCGGATATAAGAGACCCGGATATAAGAGAAAGCCGGATATAAGAGAGATTTTCTCTGGTCCCAAATTAGAGCCTGTGTTAATGTATATATAATAGACTAAACCCGGATATAAGAGAAACCCGGATATAAGAGACTTCTTCTCCGGTCCCGACAACTCTCTTATATCCGGGTTACATGTATATCAACCTACACAGCAACCTGAAAAAGTAAATATACTAAATATAAATATATATATATATATATATACATACATACATAAACACACGCGCATATATATATATATATATATATATATATATATATATATATATATATATATATATATATATACATATACAAATATATGTATGTTTATATATATAATCTTAAACATACATATACACAAACAAATATACAAGTACTTGCATATATATATAAAAAAAAAATTTTAAAAACAAAAACGGAGACTTAAAACATACCCGTATATATACATATATACACACATACGCACATACATATCCATATATATATATATATATATATATATATATATATATATATATATATATATATATACATAAATAGATAGATATAAATAAGTATATACATACATAAACCTACACATATTCTAACAATATTATCCTATTGACAATAAATTACAGTAGAGTCCATAATAATTTTAAAATGTAACAAGACACAATTGTTAAGTCTATAAGCAATTAACAAACCCTTATTAAAAAAAGTAAATTTTAGTTAGTATAGATGATACATTCCCAGACACTACGATATACATACATATACATATACGAAGAAATACAAACATACTTTCACATATATAAATATATGATCATGTACAAATACCCATATCAACACATCCACATATACACAGATGTAAGTACGCACACATCCAAGCATATATATATATATATATATATATATATATATATATATATATACATATACATATATATATACACACACATATACATATATACACATATATACACGTACGAATACAACAATATACATATACATGTATATACACATATATACACACACACGCACCTGTAGATACAAACCAAAGTTTACATACCTACACCTACACATAAACAAGCTCACATATGATAGGTGTTTATACACACACAAACACACATACACGCACACGTACACATATATATACATATATATATACATATATAATCATACCTATATTTACAAATGTATATATATACGCCTATACACATAAACACATACATACTCAACTATATACATACATATACATACATATATATACATATATACACATACATACACATATATATACATGTATCCCTACATACACATATAAATATATCCATACATACAAAAGTACACATAAATAGATATATATACGTAAATAGAAATATATATACACAATTCATTTCGACATGAACAACACAGTATACTTAAACCAACACACACCAAAATCAACAGGAGGACCATCAGGTAATAAAAACAATAATCTATTAAATTTACAATGACATATCATTATCATTGAAAGTATTACAACACCTATAATAAGTTAAATTTATAACGGCGTTTACAGTTAACTGTTAGTTCATATCTTTGATTTAAGAGATGGGTCTTATTTTTAAACCTAATTATTTCAAATTTTTCGTTAAAACAGAGATAACATGGAGCACACACATATATATATATATAATAAAAGAATACACACACACACAGAGACACACACACACACACACACACACACACACACACACACACATATATATATATATATATATATATATATATATATATATACATGGTACAAAAATTTATGTCTTTTAACGTAGATATAAACAATAAGTTCTACGTGGACCCAAAATATCTGATTCAGAGCAAACAAATACTTCATAATATCAGCGAAAATAATATATATATATATATATATATATATATATATATATATATATATATATATACACGTCTTAATACAAAAAAGTTCAAATTTGATTCATCTGTTCACAATATATTTTGCTAAATTATGAATATTTTGTATTATGATTTTTTTATCATTAACTGCCTTCAAATTATCAAAATTTTCAACTAAGTTAAATGGCTACTACAATTTCTAAAAGTTACCTTACCACTGAGTAACGTTGTAGACAAAAACCATGTGTAGATGTTTCTGGAAAAAAAAAAGACGATGCCGTTTTGATAGTATTTTCATAATTTCTATTTATTTTTTAAAATTTTGAACTAATTTGCACAAAATTGAAAAATCAAAGCAACTAAGAGGTGAGAATCATAAATTCAAAGAAGGCTACTCTCAAAAACCAATTTCCAAGAAGTTGAAATTTTCTAGATATGGGATTCAATATTCGTAACAAAGGTAGATAGAAACTTGCGTAAACGTAGGCAGAAAAGAAGTTGGAGCACAAAAATTTGGTAACTGCTGTTGAAGATAAACACTTAAAATGAAATGGAAGCAAAACTGCTTCAGAGTCGACAGCTGAACTTAATTTCTCACGACGGCAGCTAATTTTGCTCTCAGTGTAAAAAATCGATTTAGTCAGTGCGGGGGTATGTGCATAGACATGAAGAAACCCCTCTGTTATAGTCAAGATTTGTATATTGAAAGAGTTGCAAAATGTTCTGTGGGTAGATGAGTTCAAATTTGAACTTTTGGGAGTGTAAGAAGAAATCAACGAGAAAGAGTGAATAATGAATGTTTTTTGTTGTTGTTTTTTTTTAAATAAAAGCAAATACACTGGAGTTACTCACATTTTATCTTTCACTTTCAAATCATGCAAAAATATGTTATCTAAAAAAAAATGCTAGATGATCACAAACGTTTTGACATGTACTATACTAATAATTTTGTCTTCTAAATAGGTGACGGTATATGGAAATATTTCATGTAATATTACAAACACGAAACTATTGTATTTGAGAATAAATTTATTTTGCCTAGTATGTATATATGTCCTTTTCGTCATTTGTCACATTGAGTCGCACATTTAATCATTTTCGTAATTAACTGTAAAATAGAGACGCATATATATATATATATATATATATATATGTGTGTGTGTGTGTGTGTGTGTGTGTGTGTGTGTGTATATATATATATATATATATATATGAACACTGCTGATAAGTCCCTAATATAGGACAAAATAGTCGCCCATTCTTCTGAGGTTTCTAGGTCTAAATATTATGAATTATTATGAAAAATTATTGAAATCACCAAAATTACATCCATATATATATATATATATATATTGTTTAAAAATATGATTCCTTCGCTACATAAGAGTTCTCATGTTTCAAAAATGAGAGCCGAAACCATCCAAATAATTATTAAAAATAGTTGAATTGAGGTGTTTAGTCCCGTTTCATCTTCAAGCGAAATTTTAGGAATAAGCTATCTCTTGGTTTACGTGTGTTTTTAGGCATGGTCCGTTATAACATTCGTTATTGTGGGAGTGGCTAGACTATTTTCCTTCGTTAAGTGGTCAGAGAGTTAATTCCTATCAATAGATTCATCATCTTCTAAGAGGTTTTGCTAAGGTTGGGTTGGGTATCTATTTCAAGGCTAATGTTTGCGGTCATCCTTTAGTTGGTTCCCAGTGAGGGATATTTTTATGGCGCGCCTACAATCGTTTTGTGCCGGGAGGATTGTGTTTTATTATTGTCCATCTGATTATCTATTTATTTTATTTGTTTATTCAAGTGGGTGTTTTATATACAAATTGCATATATATTTCAATTTGTTTTTTGTTTTGTTTTTTTTTTTTTTTTGTTTTTTTTTTTTGACGACTACAGATAGGGTTTTTCCTATTTAATGATTTGGCTGAGCTTTTAAGACTTTTATTAAGCTATGGGATTTTTTTATGCTAATTATTTAATGCGAAAGTTTGTTGATGTCGGCAAAAAACCGTTAATTCCTGCCTATGGTTTAATAATTTTTCATTATTTAGAAATTTAATTTTATATATATATATAGTTTATGAAAAACTAGGTAATTCGTATGGGTAAACCTAGGGAGGAAAACATCCAGAGAGCTCAATGTAAATACAGAGCAAATAACCTTAAAGTGGTCTGTTTTTATTTATTTTTTTTCATTTTTTGTTTGGAAGTAAAGTCTGATGATCCGCAGTCCTTTTTTTAAAGGGGTGTGGTGAAATAATTTATTACATGGAACCTTAATGTGGTCTGTTTTTATTTAATATATATATATATATATATATATATATATATATATATATATATATATATATATATATGAATAAGATGTATTTAGCTATTTAGGCAGTAAATCCATTTATTTTTATTATATTTTCTCATTGTGTTTGAGTATTGGGCTTGAGGTTGTGGATAAACTGTCCGAAGTCAATATTTTGTTATTTTTGTCCAAATACTTTCAACTATCGTAACCATCATTAAGATCCAATGCGTAGTAGTTAGAATTCCTTTGTCTAATGGTGTAGTGTGACGTCATTTGTAACAGCGATTGTCGGGGACAAGGCCACAATAAAGAATGCGATTTATTTATTCATTTATACTTACACACACATACACACACATATATATATATATATATATATATATATATATATATATATATATATATATATATATATCGAAATAAAAGCATAAAATTTAATATTACAAGACATATTAAAACAATATTAAATAATAAAAAAAAACAAAAAAAACTCAACAACAAGAGGGTGGGGAAGCAACAGGTTTCGCTCCCACTCGTCAGGCTTCACGGGAGATTCAATATTAAAACAGAGAAATGTACAATGTGAATAGGTTGAAGCCTTGCTTGGGGTGAAACGCTTAAAAAAAAATTATTATTAAAATATACAACTAGGGAGATGCTAAAAGACGGGGCAAATCAAGACAGTAAAACAAAAATAAATTTTGTGGGACAGAATAGTGGGAGGGTGGACTTATCCTCACACAAAGTTAAATAATATGTTAACAAACGATCTTGTTCCAAACTTACACGAAAATACAAATGATGAAAAGGTAAAACGAGAAAAGATAAAAAACAGGCAATAGAAATAATGGACTAATCTGGTCTTTGTAAAAGTTTTTCGTTTCTTTGTCATCTTCTTTTTGTCTCTTATATGTACATTAGTCAGAATAATGTACATAATACTTCATCTCAGAAATATAGACAGATACTGAAGGGCCGAAACGTTGTAATAAATATGGCGACAAAGATGAGGACAATAGTCAGAATAATGTAAATAATGTACATAATACTTCATCTCAGAAATATAGACAGATATCTCTTATATGTGTTTCTTCTTTTTTAGATTTCTTTTCCTTTTTTTTATATTTCTTTTTCTTTTTATCTTCTTTTTTATCCTCTTCTCCTTGTTGGGCAGAAGGTTGGTTTGTTAAAGTGAATTTCTTTTTGTTTCCATTCCTTCTTTCTCTTTTCCTCTTGTCTAGGGATTGGGATTGAGTGACGAATAAACTGAATCCTTAGCTCTCAGGATAATATGTATCTTTCTTTTGTCTCGATGTATCTGATTTTTTTTCTTGCACGCAGGAGTTGGATACCTAGAATCAAATTTTGTTGAATCTTTTCGGCTTCAAAATTGTATCAGATTTTTATATTTTCTGCACATTCGAATTTATAACAGATTATAGTAATTATAGCTACCTGATCATTCATCTTGGATTCTGAAGAGGTACTCACTTTAATGTTTAACAGAATAACCGAAAGTACTCGGGTATATAGAACATTCGGACAGCTTTAACAAATTTTATGTCCAGAAATGTGATATATATATATATATATATATATATGTGTGTGTGTGTGTGTGTGTGTGTGTTACAGGGTAGTAAAAAACAAAAACAAATCTATTTCCATACCTGATGATGTCTGTATGAACAGATGAAAGCTTGTAAAAAAAATTAAAAAAAGACCTTATGCGACTGGAATTTATAAACAGGAATCATAACATTCATCTACAGGTTCGGGGTTAATGTACTTTTATTAAATTTGTTTGCGAAGATGTATTCTCGTCATTTATATCATTAACTTCTATATCGGTTTTTTGTATGAATGATTCAAGTAATATATATATATATATATATATATATATATATATATATATATATTATTTACATTATTCTGATTATTGTCCTCATCTTTGTCGCCAAATTTATCACAAAAGGTTTCGGCCGTTAAACACTCCGGCCTTCTTCAGGTGGTTGGAATTTCGAACTGAACCCTTTATTTCGCTCACTGGGGTAGACTGTTCTAGTTACACGTGCCATGTTTGATGGATGTCATCAGTTATCTCATGCTAATTTTTCCGAGTATTTCTGCCTTAACCTAATGTCTTCAGCAACCATTTTTACCAGTGCTCATATTGCAACTTTGTTGTTATCATTGCTTTTCTCTGGCACTCCTTATTACTGGTTCCCATATTGTATTTATTTCTATGCTTAGTCGGCTCAGGAGATTTTTGTGGCCTAGCATATGTGCTGATTCATTAAGTTTACGAATTTTCCAATGGTGTTCCTTGTCTATGATCTCAACATGATCCCACAGAGGGCGGTGATCTCCCTTCTCTCTCCATATGTGGTCAGCCACGCCTGATTTTTCCAGTTCCCCTCGTGTTACAGCTTTCTGGTGTTCTTGAAGCCTTACCTTAAGAGGGCGGCCTGTCTCCCCTTTATATTCCTTTCCGCAGCTGCATGGGATAGCGTACACACAGTCTTTAGTCATGTTCTTCTCTATGGGGGGTCTCACTCAGGAGAGATATCTGCGAAGTGTCGTCAAGCTTTTGAAGGTTGTCCTGATGTTATATGGACCGCAGATCCTTTGTATTTTCTTTGATAACCCCTTCACATAAGGCAGGCAGGTTTTCTGAGTGTTGTTGTCCTCCTCCTCTTGTACCCGCCTATCCCAGTTTTGGGGGGCTGCTGCCATGTACTCCGAGTAGTTGTTACGTTATAGGGTACTACTTATACTGACCAATTCTTTATCTAACGTCTCTGGGTCGCCACTTATGACTTTTGATCGGTGTTGTGATAAATATGGAGACAAAGATGAGGACAATAGTCGAATAATGTAAATAATGTGCATAATACCTCATCTCAGATATATATATATATATATATATATATATATATATATATATATATATATATATACCGTCATCCACAGACAGACTGTTTCGCTGTTTCACAGCTCATCAGTGTGACTAGACATCCGGTTGCCTCCAGCTAGGGTCGAAACCCGACTGAACTGGTGTCAGTCGGAGATTCTAACCATTAAGCCATAAGGCTCAAACACTAATATTTCAGGATCATAATTTATTATATTGGATCATAATCACGATCCCATTCATCAGACCTACAAATCCAAAAAGAAAACAGATAATATATCTCCTGATTTAAAAAAAAAAAAAATTTCATTGAAAATTTATTTGTGGGAGTGAGAAACGAGGGTGAGAGGGAAATGTATGAAAGCTCTAGAGATAGGTGTAACGGAAGAAGAAGAAAAACAGAAAAGGGCCTAAGGTGAGAGGGTGAGAACAACATTTTAATGTGAGAAGTTTTAAATAACGGTTTAAAGGAGTGAGGTAATAGTTCTTAATTTATTACATCAGAACTCTACCTGGATTTTACCCTCTTGGAAATAAATATATATACATATATATATATATTGACCACTAATATATATATATATATATATATATATATATATATATATATATATTATTTTGTTCTAGACATAGACCAACATGTGCCAGAGATTGGATATTGGGCCCTGCTATGTTGTTTTGTGCTGTTTTGGGAGTCGGAACAGAGTTTTGGTCACAGTCAAGTTGTGTTCTGTACAGAGACTGAGAAGTAGATGTCAGTTTGTGATGCAGTTGGCAATACCATGGCGACTGTGAATACCCTTCCAACAATGATCATAACTCTGGCGTCGCCAAAAAACGACGAGTTTCTCCGATACTAGGACGGTTCAGATGATGGTAGTTGGCGTCGTAAGAGACCCTGGTAGGTGCATAAACGGAGATAAGAGTCATACTTGAATGGGATTCGGAGGTCCATCTAGCGTTCACTGATGGCAATGAAGATGAGTTATGCTGCTCCACAAGTTTAGTCTTTACGGCAAAGCCGACCCCGTGAATGCGTTGCCCACATGCCTTCTTCTCTTTCCAAGAGATCGTATTCCTTCGTTGGCATGTCTGGTTTCATTCAAAGCAGCCACGTCAATGTCGAAAAGAACCAGATCGCGGCACACAAGTGCTGTTATTTTCTCTGAGCGTGTCCTTGATGTCCATCAACGTACGTAAGTTTCATGTTCCGATAGTCAAGGAGTTGAAAGCAACAGAGGTTTTATAAATTTGAGATCTTAAGCTGTGATCACAAGAATGGTTCACCTGCTGAACGCGGTTAGTCAGCGAAACGTATTCGCAATGATCGATGGTTACCTCACCTTTTCTTGGGGCATCCCCACTTGCGGTGGTCCGTGGGGATCCTGGATAGGCCAGCGCAGTCACGAGTTAAGCTGCCGTATTGTCGCGTCATCGCGGGTCACGAGGGATACGACAATTATGAACCCGCCTCCAAACTGTGGGCGCGGACTAACCAAGCCTGCCCCCATATCTCGCGGCACCATCGCCCGCAGGAACATCGCTCGCGGGAACATCGCTCGCGGGAACATGGCCCGCGGAACATGGCCCGCGGGAACATGGCCCGCGGGAACATCGACCGCCAGACTTGCCAAACGAACTCAAACAAAGTTTGATAAGGCCATTTGCGTGAATTTGATTTTGGTGGACAACTCTGGGCGACGGAGAAGCCCACACACTTAGCCAGAAAGCCCCCCCCCCCCGTGGTTCAATGGGGATTGCCCTCTTCCACCGGTTTGGTCGTTGAAATCGTGTAGATCTTTGCCTATTCCGCCGTTGGGGACTTGGATTGTTTGTCGCATTCAGTCTGGTCTTTACTTCTCGACATTGGCGCCATGGGTGGACCTAAAAGAGTTGAAAGTCCAGACGGCTTCGCTCTTTGGATCTCTAAGAAACATAAGCCCGCTACCATGAAAAGGAACAATATATATTTTACACTGGATGACGAAGTTCCTCCACTACGATACACTATAGATACATATTAGGATCTAAAAAGAGTTGAGATTATAAAACGCGTAATATATATATATATATATATATATATATAGAATGCCATCCCAGCCACCCCATAACTTAGTTCGCATGTGTAATTACATCACAGCAAACACCACTTTATCCCGATGAAATCTTTAAGGACGAAACGTATCACACGAAAAGTTTTGTCTATATTTCTGAGATGAGGTATTATGTACATTATTTACATTATTCGGACTATTGTCCTCATCTTTGTCACCATATGACCGAACATAGAAATAAATACAATATGGGAACCAGTATTAAGGAGTGCCAGAAAAAAAGCAATGATAACAACAAAGTTGCAATATGAGCTCTGGTAAAAAACATGCAATGATAACAGCAAAATTGCAATATGAGCACTGGTAAAAATGATTGCTGAGGACATTAGGTTTATAATACCGAGAAATTCATACCCAGATGTTGGTTAGATCCAGTGACAGGACCCAAAGAGTGTGAGTTCAATACCCGGTTAAGGCAGTGGAGAACTTTTAGAGGGAAATTAGCAGGAGATAACCGATAACTGACATCCATCAAACATGACACGTGGAACAGTCTACCCCATTGAGCGAAAAAAAGCGAATAATAAATTTCAGTTCGAAATTCCAACCACCTAAAGAAGGCCGGAATGTTGTGATAAATATGGTGACAAAGATGAGGACAATAGTCCAAATAATGTACGAAAAGATTTTTAATAATGTAAAAATGTTAAATTTATATCTATATATATATATATATATATGTGTGTGTGTGTGTATGTGTGTAATCAAACATGTAAAAAGACTAATAATGGAAGCATTGTTATTAAAAAAGAAAACACCAACACTCAATAACATCAACTATGAACATGGCCACAACGTGCTGATTGTGTTTGGAAAGTAAAATATTCCTATAACTCTAGACACATAAAGAAACATATATCCAGTCAAAAATTTTAAAAGATAAAAATCGCCCTAAATAATGGCTAAAAGAATAACCAAAAGTACTCGGATATGCAAACATGAACAAATTTTACAGAAAAGAAAACACTTCTACGAACACGAGAATTAAAGTACCTTGTTAGTTGTCTTTTATACAGGAAACATATATAAAAGAGTTATTGCCTTCCTGATGTCATCAGTTCCCAAGTAGGCATCTACGCAGACGACACTACTATTTACTCCTGCCTCGATAGCAAATCTGGTATCGCTAACAAAACTAACCTGACCATTGGTCTCGAAAAGTACTTCTAATCTGTGGTTGACTGGGGCAGGAAATGGCCGGTAAACTTTAATGCTTCAAAAACAAAACG